ACAGTCTTAGTCTTGAAAGAGAATTTTAAGACTTTATTCAGTCCAGTCTACTTTTTGTAACACAGAGAAAAAATTTTCACTGTTTTCCTTCAACCTTTCCAACACTTCCTATAACTACTGAATTTCTTGCTTTTAATCCTCTTAGTTTGCTAGTTTTTGGCCTATGAAGAAATGTAATTTCTCTCTCTCTCTTTACAGTGTTGAAACATTGATTTTATTTTTTTCCCACATTTTTATTGGTACATTATAGTTGTGTATAATGATGGAATTTGTTGTTACATTTGTGTGTGGACATAATATAATAACATAATTTGGCCAATATCATGCCCCAGCACTACCCCATCTCTCACCCCTTGTTCCTCTATTGATCTCCCTTTTTTAGGAAAAGATCCACACCCACCTTTCTTTTCCTTTTTCTTCTCTAGCGTCTGCATATGAGAGAAACATTCAGCTCTGGACCTTCAGAATTTGACTTACTTCACTTAACACGATGGTCTGTAGTTCCATCCACCCATTTTCTGGCAAATGATCTAATTTCATTTTTCTTTATGGCTGAATAAAACTCCATTGTGTATATATACCACATTTTCTTTATCCATTTATACACTGATAGACACTTAGGACGGTTCCATGGTTTAGCTATTGTGAATTATGCTGCTATAAATGGGTATGCCTGTAATCACTGTAGTATGCTGATTTTAATTCTTCAGGATGAATATCAGGAGTGGTATAGCTGAGTCATATGATGTTTCCATTCCTTTTTTTNTTTTTTTATTTTTATGTGGTGCTGAGGATTGAACCTAATGCCTCACACATGCTAGGCAAGTAATCCACCTCTGAGCCACAACTCCAGCCCTAACATTTATTTATTTTTATATGGTGCTGAGGATCAAACCCAGCACCTTACATGTGCTCAGGAAGCACTCTACACTGAGCTAACAACCCCAGTCCTCCATTCCTAGTCCTTTGAGGAACCTCCACCCTGATTTCCRTAGTGGTTGTACTATTTTACAATCCCACCACAGTGTAAAAATAGTCCTTTTTCTCCACATTCTCTCTAGCATTTATTATTTGCTTTCTTAATGACTTCTGTTCCGACTGGTGTGAGATGAAATCTCAGTATAGTTTGGATTTGCATTTCCCTAATTGCTAATGATGTTGAACATTTTTTCATGTATTTGTTGGCCACTGTATTTTTTCTTTGGGGAAGTGTCTGTTTAGTTCATTTGCCCACTTATTAATTGGGTTATTTGACTTTTTGGTGTGAATTTTTTTGAGTTCTTTATATATTCTAGATATTAATCCTTTGTCAAAAGAGTAGCTAGAAAAGGTTTTCTTTCATTCTGTAGGTTTTCTCTTCACATTCGTAATTATTTTCTTTGCTGTGCAGATTTTAATTTGATACCATCCAATTTATTAACTCTTGACATTATTTCTTGGGCTTTAGAGGTCCTACTGAGAAAGTCATTGCCTATACCTATGTACTGAAGTGTTGATCCTATGTTTTCTTCTAGGAGTTGCATAGTTTTTGCTGTAATTCCTAGGTCTTTTGACAGATTTTGATTTTTACACAGGGTGAGAGATAAGGGTCTAATTTTATTCTTCTACATATAGATAACCAGTTTTTCCAGCACCATTGGTTTTTTTTTTTTTTTAGAGAGAGAATTTTTTAATATTTATTTATTTATTTTTTAGTTTTCGGTGGACACAACATCACAACATCTTTATTTATTTTTTTTATGTGGTGCTGAGGATGGAACCCAGCGTCCTGTGCATGCCAGGCGAGCGCGTTACAGCTTGATGCACATCCCCAGCCCAACAACATTTGTTAAAAAGGCATCTTTTCTCCAATGTATGTTTTTGACACCTCTGTCAAGGATCAGATAATTATAGATTTGTGGGTTTGTCTTTGGGTCTTCTCTTCTGCACCACTGCTCTGTGTGTCTGTTTTTATGCCAGTTTTTGTTACTATAACTCTGCAGTACAGTTTGAAGTTGGGTATTGTAATGCTTCCAGCTTTGCTTTTTTGGCTTACAATTGCTTTGGCTCTTCTGRGTCTTCTTCCAAGTGAATTTTAGGACTATTTTTTTCTAGATCTGTGAAGAATAGCATTGGTATTTTGATGGGGTTTGCAATGAATCTGTATATTGCTTTTGGAAGTATGTCCTTTTTATTGATATTAATTCTGCCTATCCATGAACATGGGAGGACTTTCCAACCTCTGAGGTCTTCTTCCGTTTCTTTCTTCAGTGTTCTATAGTTTTCACTCTAGAGGTTTTTCACCTCCTTGGTTAGATTTATTCTGAGGTATTTTAGGGGTTTTTTTGTTTTGTTTTTTTGAGGCCATTGTGAATGGAATTGTTTTCCTGATTTCTTTCCTGGCAGAAAGCTATTTATTGACTTTTGTATGTTGACTTTGTATGCCAATCTCTCTTCTTAACAGTGTATACTTCTTCAATATTATTGATAGTCATCTTTATCTTAGTTAATAATCTAAAACACTGTCTTTTCCAAATGGTATTTCTATATTAAACTCTGCTATAACTGTATAGTGAAACTTGGGCTCTCAAGATTTCAAGCCTCAGCTGTCTGTCTAGAGCTAGATATTTTTTTTAATTTAATTATAAACATTTCCAGGAACAAAACTAGAAAGATTATAAACATCCATCACACAGATTCAGCATTACCAAGATTTTTACCACATTTGCTTAATCTATTTTTTTCTTTGATGAAATTTTGCAGAGCAAATTCAAGACATCATGTCACTCTATGTATTTCAATATTTAGCCCTTAAAAGGTGGGGCACTTCCTTACATAATTAAAATGAAATTATGTTATATAATCTAATAAACAATTTTTATTTCTGCTTGGGAATTTCTGAAGTGAAACCAATCATACAGAATTTCAATACTGATAGGGTATAGCCAGATGTGAGTGGTGGGAACATGAGGTTAAGGGAATAATTCTATAAAGCCCACTATGCTGACCTGACCCTCACATGTTTCTTTTTGTTTGTTTGTTTTGGAACTGGGGATTGAACCCAGGGGCACTCAACCACTGAGCCACATCCCCAGCCTTTTTTTTCCCCCAATTTTTTTTAGTTGTTGACGGACCTTTATTTTATTCATTTATTTATATGCAGTGCTGAGAATCAAACCCAGTGCATCATACATGTGAGGCAAGTGCCCTACCATTGAGCCATAACCCCAGCATCCCCAACCCTTCTTTATATTTTATTTAGAGACAGTGTCTCACTAAGGTGCTTAGGACCTCACTAAGTTACTGAAGCTGGATTTGAACTCACACTCCTCCTGCCTCAGCCTCCCCAGACAGTGGAATTACAGGCATGTACCACCACTCCCAGCTACATGTTTCTTTTTAAAAAGAATTTACCTGCATCCCTGCCTGGCTTAAGTTGACAGAATATGTTGCATTCCTTAGCAAATAACCTGTATCTGCAGGAGAAATGCAGGTCTGAAATGTTAATAAAAAGAATACAAGGGCTGGGGTTATGGCTCAGTGGCAGAGTGCTTGCCTAGCACATGTAAGGCATCGGGTTCGATCCTCAGCACTATACCAAATAAAATAAAGGCATTCTRTCCATCTACAACTATTAAAAAAAGAATATAAGTCACCCTGAAAGGGGTGAAGGGGGGAGGATTTTTGTGACCCTTATACTGACCAGATCCCAGAACTCAGGGAGATCAGGATAATCCTCTCTAAACATAAAATCTATAAGAACAGGTTCTAATTAGGACTAGTCAGCATGGGTCAAAGTGACCTACAGTTGTCATAACAGTGGGAACCTGAAAGTCTGACATCATCTTGCTGTCAATTAAAAGTCAAGAGGTGGGCATGACTCTCTGGAAATTTCATTGGGAGCCCTCTCTGGGTCTTCCTCCAAGTGAATTTTAGGATTATCTCCCAATAAAACTGGAAAGCCAGAGCAGCATGCCATCCCTCTCCTGAGAGGACCTACTCTTTCCCTTAAGAGTGTCCCCTTTTCCTCTTTTCTATCCCTTCTAATAAATTCATGCCTGTTACCTTGAGTGACATGTCTGAAATCTTTCTGGCATGACTGCAAGAAAGGTCTCTGTGCTACATCAGTCTTGCAGTAGGCCTCTACCCAAAACAACAGTATGAAGTTAGCACTGTAAAAAGAGCAATATTCTATAGCCTCAAAACAATTTTAAAGTGAAGTTTAATATCTTCTGAAATGCAAGGTGCTGACCTGCAATTCAACTAAAGCTGAGCTCAAGAAAACCCACTGAAAACTCTTAAAAATACATAGTATCAAGTTCAGTCTTTGTACATTAGGTTAATTAAAAACATTATATACAAACATACAGATATCGAACTGTAACATTAAAACATAGAATGTAAAAATGCAATAAAGTGACTTTATAAGTTTTCTTCACGGAAACAGGCTTCACAAATCTAGACATTTATGATTATTAAGATATTATGAGCAACAGATATATAAAAAAATCTAAGCCATGATTAGTAAATTCCTTTGGAAGTGGAGAAAAGTAGTATACATATCAAAAGGGAAACATGGTAAGTTATATGGTCCCGCCTACTTTGCATATTATAAGAGGCACCAAAAGTGCTATAGGAAACTGTAGTTAAATGTTAGAAWTATATGTAATACATTTTCTCAGGCTTCCATTGATGATTATCTATTTGACTTACAAATATCCTTAAATGTAAAATTGTTCAGTATTATTGCATTTGTTGTACAATGAAAATTTGCCAATTAATCTGATATATACTTTGAGCTGAAAGAATTTATGTATAATGAAATAAATGAGGGCTGGGGCTGTAGCTCAGTGGTAGGGTGCCCGCCTTGCACGTGTGAGGCACTGGGTTCGATCCTCAGCACCACATAAAAATAAAGATACTGTGTCTAACTACAACCAAAAAAAAAAAAAAAATACAAAAAGAAAAAGAAAGAAAGAAATGAGGAATCCTAAGAAAAAATTATTAGTTTCTAAGTCAAATTATGTTAAATATTCATGAAAAATAAAATTATAGGCCAGAAACACTGGCTACTTGCCAGTGTTCATTCTGAATAATAATTCTTGCACAAATAATAGCCATCTTTGTCTTTTGAAGCAAACCCAAAAAAAGCCTAAAATTAATCCCACAAATACAAATTAACCGATTTCAGAATAACAAATTCAAAGCCAGTATTGTCATTTGCACATTAAGTTGATATGCAACTCTAGCTGAGAGGTAGAGCACAGGTGTGGCATGCACAAGGCCTTGGGTCCCAACCCCAGCACTCCAAACAAATAAAATCCTACATATAAAAAAATGCATCTGCTCCTGTATAGAACTAATTTGTTTTCAGCACCAAATGAATCATCACACAGCCTCCCCCTCTTGTTTTAAGGAAAGATATACATCAAGGAAATCAATAGAATACATTACTTATACAATTCCTCAAAAGCGGCAAGGCAGCCAAGAGTTGATGGCATTTAAGGAAAGTAAAAAATTTGCACTCTTAATGTCCACTGATGTGATTTGTGCCAACTTCAAACAAAACAAAACAAAGCCCCCAAAAAACCACCACCAACAAAAATAAAACCCAACCTAAAAACACTTTTCACCTAGTATACGTGAAATGAAAAGAAACACAATATTATATCATATCCCAGCACAGACTTACTATGTTTGTATCAATGACTCACTAGTAAGAATTATCTGTTGTTTAAATAAAGTCCTGTCTAGGTAGTAGATGGTAATCTAAACACTGACAGCACCTATAGTCTCAAACAAAAGAGCTTATGAATCCAGATTAATTCTCTTTGGCCGCAGTGGATACCATTTTCTCTGGGGGCAGTCCTTAGTTCGCTTTCTTTTCAGTACCACATCAGAGGTTTTCCTGGGAGCAGTCTCCATTGGTGTGGTTTCTATTTGTGTTATAAAGCTCTCGGGTTTAGCATCTGGTTTTCTACAACTGGAAAAGATTTCTTGGTGGATCCTCTGGAGCTGAATGATAGGTTGCATCTTCAAAACTTGGGAAAATCCATCTCCTTGTTCAATCAATACAGGGAAAGCCTTAAAAAAGTAACAATCAACATTAATCTCAGGTTGTAATACAAACATATGGACGCAGCACTATCTTCAGGTCAAGGCTTTTTTGAGACCTAATTTCTTGGGGTTATGGATATTCTGCTTTTATCTTCAAAATAACAGTTTAAGCTGAGGAATTTTTACTAAAAGCTAAGACTAGAAAGATTTATTCTTATCTTACAATGTTTGGTATTAAAATTAAATTCAACAGAATGGAATAACAGAATTTCAGAGCTAAGGATCTAATGTCTGAAATTCTGTATTTTAGGATTAAGGAGTACTTTGCAAAGCTTAATAATCAAGAAGAGGGATCAGTAAAGGACCAGACAGTAAATAGTTTTGCTCTGGAGGTTTGCATCTCTACCATAAGAATGCAATTCTTCTGTTGTAATGTGAAAGAAACCTCAGAAAATAAGTGAATGAATGGACATAGCTATATTTTAGTAAAACTTTATTTACAAAAATGGGGTAAGTGCGGGGCTGGGGATGTGGCTCAAGCAGTAGCGCGCTTGCCTGGCATGCGTGTGGCCTGGGTTCGATCCTCAGCACCACATACAAACAAAGATGTTGTGTCCACCAAAAAAAAACTAAAAAAATAAATATTAAAAATTCTCTCTTAAAAAAAAAATGGGTAGGCTGAATTTTAGCTTGGCCTACCCTAATTTGCCAATACCCAATCAAGAACATGCTCAGAGAGAGATAATTACTAGAAAATTATAGAATCAATCCAAACCTCAAAAGAATATTACAGAAAATTAACATTAGAACAGGGGAGATTCTGAAGGAGTTTAAAAATAATTTTCGTATACTAGAAATCCAAATGTTTCCTGTTTGGATAAAATAAATATCAAACCATAAACATTTTCATAATAATAATATTAAGATTCTCCAGTTGGAGGAGTAGTATAATATAGTGATTAAGAGTATAGATTCTAGGTGAGGTGTAGGGATTGCTCAGTGGTAGAGTAAGTCCTTTTAGCATACGCGAGGCCTTGCATTCAGCTGCCAAATACCACCAATGAGAGAGAGAGAGAGAGAGAGAGAGAGAGAGAGAGAGAATGAGAATGAATGAATATATATAAATTCTAGAGCCAAACATTCACGGTTTAAATCCTGGCTTGGCTACCTTAGCATCTCAGTTTCCTTATCTGTAAAATGGGGGAAATATAGTACCTATAACATAGGGTTAGTATAAGGATTAAATGAAGTAATAAATGTAAAGCAGTTATATGGTGCCTGATTCACTCCAAGTAGACAATAAATGTTAGCTAGTATTATTATCCAGGATCATCTAGTGGGCTGCTAATACTCAGCCCATTAGATGATTCTGGATAATAATACCAACCTTTAATGTACCTTTAATGTGCCTAATAAAGTGTTCTGAATTTTACTGTTGCTTGATACATTTATTAAACATCTATTTATTTATTTAAAAATTTTTTTTAGTTGTAGAGGGACACACAATATCTTTGTTTATTAATTTATTTTTTAATGTGGTGCTGAGGATAAAACCAGTGCCTCACACATGCTAGAGGCAAGCACTCTACCACTAAGCCCCAGCCCCAGCCCATTAAATATCTATTTAAAAGACTAAGAATTAAAACACATATGGATGTTGAGAGTAAATAAGTAGTCATACATTTTGTTCACTTTATACTTTTTTATCACATAGTTTTTACCTTCATGGCTTCACTGATCACCTTAGCTATGGTTTCCCCTCTGCATTTCAGACTTTCCATGCGAGAATCTACAAAAACATCACCAAGCAATATTAGGTTTTTTAATTAAACAGCAAATCATAGAAGCATTCAGATACTATCTGGACACAAATMTGTTAGGACCATTTGCTTTAACTTAATCTTCCTTAGATTGCCTTGTAATCTATTAAAACAAACATCCTAGTAAGTTAATTTGGATAAATGAAAAGACTATAAGAACATTAAAACAGTAAAGTAAAACTAAAAGTTAGAGGCATAAGGTAGTAAGCAAGATTCTACCATGAGCAGTCCTAATAGTGTGTGCTCCTAGAAGAGAGTGCAATATTCATTCTATATATTATCTACCATCATATCTAACATCTCTGAACACCATCATCATATTTTAGAATATAGGTTAATACTTAAGCAAAAGATTTTTTGAACTTAGATATACAATCAGGCTATGGTGGTTATACTAATATCAAACAAAATAAACTCTAAGTCAAAAGTTGTTATCAAAGAGACTTTATTGATAAAAGGAAGTCAATCAATTCAGAAGCTCTATCAATTATTAACCCAACAAGAGCTCTGTTTTGGTTACTGTTTGCATGGAATATCTTCATTCATTCTTTCAATTTCAACCTGTTCATGCCTTTGGATTTCAAATGACTCTCTCTAGACAGAATATAGTTCAATCATATCTTTTTTCTCCATTTGCCAACTTCTACTTTGAATTAGAGAGTTTTTAGACCATTTATATTTAAGGTAATTACTAATAAAGAAGGACTTTTGCCACTTTGGTATCTTTTTTTTTTTKTATATTATTATACCATTTTTGTTCCTGGGTTCCTTTGTTACTGCCTTCTTTTTGTTTAATTTTTTGTAACATACCATTGTTGTTCTTTTTTAAAATTTTTTTGTTGTTGATGGACCTTTATTTTATTTATCCATATGCAGTGCTGAGAATTGAACCCAGCGCCTCACACATGCTAGGCAAGTGCTCTACCACTGAGCTTCAACCCCARCCCCTGTTTTTGTTCTTTTCTATTCATTTTTAGTATAATTTTCTAGATAATTTGTTAGGTTACAACTGATAACTAGTATAACATGAAAGCAATTTTCAAATCAATATATTAAGGCCTATGCTAGGTGAAAATTAAAATTCTCAGCAAGTGCTATAGTTTGGATCTTTAATGCCCCTAAAAACTCGTGTGTTAAAGGCTTGGTCCCCAGTTTGGCACTATTAGGATGGTGGAAATATTAAGAGGTGGGGTCTAGCAGGAGGGCTTCAAGCCACTAGGGGTTTGTCTTCCACAAGGGGATTGTGGAACCCCAGTACCTTCCTCTTCTCTCTTTCCCTTACTAGCCATGAGGTGAGAAGTTTTATTCTGTTGCACATTCCTGTCATGATGTGCCATGGCCAACTGATTGTGGACTGATACCTCTAAAACTGTGAGTTGAAATAAACCTTTTCTTTTCATAAGTTGATTATTTCAAGTATTTGTTATAGTAATTGGTGAGTAATACAGTGATTTATTTTTAAATATATGCAGGTATTTCTTTGCAACTAAAACAAACCTCATTTAAAATTTCAAATGTATCTAAAGATATGATACCATGTTAAACTTTCAGTTTTTGACTGAGCCTTATATGATACACTAACAATATCAAGTGTTGGTAAGGATATGARGCAAGTGGAACAATTACCATGACTGCTGATTGAAATGTAAACTGGAAAACTTTCTGCAGTAGCTATAAAGACTAAATATATGCCTATCACATGACACAAAAACTATTTCTAGATTTATATCCATAAGAAATGAGCACAAAAACAATATATGAATATTCAGAGTTGCACTACGCATATAGCCCAAATCTTCAAACAATCCAAATGACAATTAGTGGAAGAACAGAATAAACTGTTTATAGACACATGGTAGAATACTACAACAATGAAAAAACCTTTTTTACTACTCTTAAAACATGGATGAAATCTCAAAGAAACAACTCAGAGCTAAAGAAGGTAACACAAGAGTACATAACTGTATAATTCCATTTATACGAAGTTCAAGAACAGATAAAACAAATCTATAATGATGTAAGTCAGAAAAGTGGTCATCTCTAGTAGAAGTAGAATACTGACCAAAAAGAAGTATAAGGAAACTTTTGGGGATACTGGAAGATACTGGAATGTTACACAGAGTGTCTATAAAATTAGGAAACAGGATACACATGTGTTAGTTCCATTTTCAAATGATATGCTCAATATCTTTTTAAAGCAATAGGCCCTATTGTTAATCTAAAAACATGTAACAAATACACTATTTTACTTATGCTTTCAGGTTCTTTTGATACTCCAAATTATATTTATTGTATAATTTTAAACATAATGGGAACATTATTTGAAAATGCAGAGTTTAAAAATAAGTATATCCTTCTTTCTAACTATGCAGATACTGAATACCTAAATCAAGGTGGCAGGTACATGTATATATGTGTATAAATTCACCAAGCTGTGCACTGCACGTTATACCAACCCACAGACACACACACACAATGAACACAATATATTTTAGCATTTACTGTAGAAAGTTATCTTACTTTTACTTATATAGTAARGCAATCCTAATCTTCTTCATTGTTACTGCATGGTTTACAAAATGATCTATCACCTGAGTGATTCTGTTCAATGTTTTATTAACAGTACCAATAATTATGTTCACCAATTTGTGAAGCCTTCACTATGATTCTCTAATTGGAAGATTCTTAGAGACTAAGAACTATCAATGACTAATGTAAAGAACTCCTAAAACACCTAATTACTTTTTTGGTCTATAAACTTATATATTGCTGAACAACAAAGCTTTCCATCTGTTACACACGCAATGCAAAAGTATATTGGGCTTGTATACAAAACGTAGTTAGGTCCTAAGTTTGAATAAAGATGGTCACACATGAATGTCTGATGGGATATGCTAAAGTTGTGCAGGACATATAAGACATTTAGTATCCCTGGCCTGAGTATGAAATGCCAGCTATACCCTTCTCATTACTATGGTAACTCAAAAATGTCCCCCAACTTTTTAAAAATGACCACTAGGGGGCAGTACCTGCTCCAAGGAGAACTCTAGTATTCTTTATCTTCTAGAACTACCTTGGGAACAGGAACCTCATGCTCTCATCTTATGATCTCTGGTGTTGAACACCTAACATGTAGAAGAAGTGCACAATAGTTATGATGGAGCTAGGCTATATAATAGAGAATACTATACAGGCCCAAAAGGGTGAGGTCAATCTAACAGGAAAACTGAAGGGAAAAGAAAATCACAGGTGTTGTAAGAGAGCTGCCTTAAAAGAGGATTTGGTGCTTGGAGGAGCTTGGGGATTATAGGGGTAGGAGGTGGGTGRCAGAGGATATGCTATACCAAAACAAGGGAATAAATCAAAGAACAGGAGAAAACAGGAACCAGGAAATGTGATACAGGAGACAAGTAAAGGAAATTCCCAGAATGATAATGAAAGGAACAGATAGGATGAAAGCTCTCTGCAGCAGACTTAGAGAGTACCCAGTCCAGATTTGGAATAGAAAGGTGGAAGGTTCCCAGAATATTTCCAAGAAAAGAAAGGAATTTAAAAGTGGATTTGATGGATGATAACCTGAAGTGTTTGGTAAAGAAGGAACCAAAAAGAAATTATCATTCCAGAAGGGAGCAAAAAACTATTCAAGAAAGAAATACACTCATAGTAATAATTACCTGACTCAGATTGAAGAACATTTATATAGTCATAACAATATAAATACTAAATACTGATTTTTTTTTTTACAAGAATGACTGAGATTTGGTTAAAAGTAATGCTTGTGAGATGATTCTATTAAGAAATCTGACAATGAAAGGGAAGATTTCAGGAAAGAAATACCACATGAAAGTTTTCTCTACTTGTTCCTACTTAGCCCATTCCTACAATAGTACACGTTGCCATGCCAATCTACATTATGTAATTTTAGTAACCCTGTAAGGCAAGCAGATTTCATTTGCCTTCTTTTATAGGTTAAAAAAAATTAGATGCTGAGAAATGAATCTACAATTGAAGAGAATTAGAATTTACATCTCCTAGAATCCAAAGCATGTACTCTTCTATATTCTATATGTAACTTTCCCAAATACCACTTTGCCAGGAATTACACTATCTTCAGAAGAACAGAGGTTGTGAAATATTTAAAAGTTAGCTCAAGCAAGGGTGAGGATATAGTTCAGTGGTACAGAACTTGCCTAGCATCCACAAGACACYGAGTTTGATCCCTAGCACCACAAAAAGAAAATTAGCTCCAACATAATGAAAATATCTTGAAATAAAAATAATTATGCCTGATAAAGAATTAAAATAGCACAATTATGGAGTTAAATGTTTTAACTATTAACTTTATAATATTTTTTGAGTTAAGTAAATTAAATTCTTTGCATTTAAAAAACTAAGCAGTATCAATAATTTTAAGAACAGAACTAAAGATTTTTAAAAAGAGACAAGGTAGGAGGAGACACATTTAAAAAGATCACTAAATATGTGACTATGCTGTCTGATAATGGAATAATAAATAATTTCCAACATTAATATCTGTTTAGGAAATTTCAAAATATACAAACATCTCACTCCCTAACTCACAATTACTCTAAGTGAATTTTTCACATTTTTTAACTGTGAGAGCATATAGGTACTCCCAATACAAAATCTAATTTAAGAATGTCTCACATGTAGATGTCTGGTCCAGGCCATGCAGAATATGGAATAGGCAGAAGCATTCTCAATAGCCTCAAAAAGACAATTTTGCCAGGCATAATGGCACAAGCCTATCATCTCAGTGACTCCAGCAGCTGAGACAGGATAGCAAGCTCGAGGCCAATCTCAACAACTTAGGCCCTAACCAACTAAGCAAGACCCTGTCTCTAAATAAAAATCAAAAAGAGCTGGGGAGGTGGTTCAGTGGTAAAATGCCCATGGGTTCGATACCCAGACTAAAACAAACAAACAAAAAAACCCAAATCTTCATGGC